TAGCTCCTTCTGCTCATCCCTGTTAACTACTGAGACTGACCACAGAAATTATTTACATGGCTGAATCCTTCCTTAAATACACAAAGGAGGATAAAGCAGGTAACCTGACACATCTCTGACTGTGCTGTTCCCAGAACAAGTTACTCACTGTAACTACAGATGTTTCCTTTGTTCAAATTTGCCTGGAGGCTCAAGTTCCATAAAAAGACATTTTTTAACCTGATTAGACATATTTTACATAAATAAGACAGCTCCTCTCACCCACTCCTTCCTTATAGCTACCCAAGGCCCTAGGGGACTCCCTAAGCTGGCACTGAACAATCCCACAGAGTCATGCATCTTATTCCTCCTCCAGAAATAACAAAGACATCCCATCTGTTTTCCCTATTACCAGTAGTTCTCCTGGAGACTTTGTGGAGTTGGACACTTTTCTGCAGATTCTCCTAAGAAGAGGAGGCAATCCAGCTCCTCATCTGTGACAGTGTCTGTGTGCTCTCACAATGCAAATATTGTACATCAACATGAATTACTCCTCCAGTTCATCATGACAGAAAAAAAAAACACATCGCCAGAATTGACTCATTCCTGACAGACCAACAGCAAATGCAAGGAGCTACTGTGGGGCAAAGCACCAGGGTCTCTCTTAACATCTCAGCACCACKCATTTCCAGTCTTTCCCCATAAAAATCTCACCTCCCTTCAACCTAAGTATTACATATTTCCAGAGATTTCTGAGAAAAAACTGATACGTTGCTCCTAGTTCTGTCAGATGACTTCACAGCAAATCCAGGCTTTGCTCTCTAAGTCTTCAGGAACATCAGCCAGCCTGTGCTGGGGACCTTTTGAGAAATGTGCATTCACCAAATTCCAAAGATCATTTTGCATCCCTAAAACTGAGCAGGTTGTCAAATTCCACATCCACAGCCACTCTGAGTAACCAGGTCTTTAGGTTTTAAGCACCTACTTATTTGAACATGAACTGGTGAATTGCAAAAGTGCAATGCTCAACAACAGACTGGATTTGCAAAGCTCTAATGTTTAAATCCCTTGGGACATTTCCCATGGAAATGTCTCTACAGAGGTGGAAACTGAGGGGCTGGGATTTCACAAAAACAGTCAAAGAGAGGGTGACACCGCCCCATACCGTGCATTGCCATCATATCCAGCAAAGATCCACAGCTTGTCACTGTACACTGTTGCGCCATGAGCTGACCTGGCCACTGGCAACCTGCAGGGGAGAAAATATAGACAATAATCTTTGCAGCTGTGGAGGGGCTGCAGAAGGATCTAAGAGCTAAAATGCACATGTAAAAAGAAGAAAGTCCTGTACACAAAATTGCTTCTGCCATGTACCCTCCAAACACTGAGTGAGCCTTTGAAGGCACATGTTAGTTTTGCACTCTGCTGCCTTCAGTGGAGAGAAACCACCTTAATGCAAACAGCAAAATATAAAGAAAAAAAACTCAATTAGTTCCCAGGACTCAAATACTCTTAGAGCATTTTATGGAAAGTAGTTAAGTAATAGGAAAAATCATACCACCACTGGTAGTGCAAGGTGGAAATGAAGTTTTGCTATGAACATCCCAAATGTATTGCCATGGATTAAGTAGGTGAAACACGGAAATGAGACCAGGACAGAGCTCAGGATACTCGTATGGGATCAATCAGGGTGCCTCCAAGATGTAGTGCCCACAATGAAAGTCCAAAACTATGACTTCTGTTCCACGATCTTTGTTGTTTTAACTAAATCAGCCAGGCTGAACAAACCTGGGATGCCACAAGGCATCTGTTGGCTTGTCTGAGGTTACTGTGCTGCCTGAACACTAACTCTGGGAAACGACTAACGAAATGTGAGTGTGTAAACTGAGAAAGAATTACTCTCCAAAATGTCCCATTACTACAATTAACCTGAAAGAGAAATTACTAATATGGTCTATGTTCTAAAATATAATGTTCTCTTCAGAGGTGAACAACAGTAACACAAGAATGGATTGGACATTCCTCATCCCTCTCCACAAAGCACAATAACAAATATTCTCTTCTCTCCACTGAAATCAGCATTACAGAAACTTCAACTATGTACAGGACTATGGGTAAAGGCACTGCATTATCCTTACTGCGGAGTAGTAAACACAGAACTATAAGATGTTTGGGGCAGAAAGGAACCTTAAAGCCCAACCAGTCTTACCCCCTGCCAGGAGCAGGGACACCTTCCACTGTCCCAGGGTGCTCCAAACCCCATCCAAACTGGCCTTGGACACTTCCAGGATCCAGGGGCAGCCACAGCTTCTCTGGACACCCTGTGCCAGGGCCTCCCCACCCTCACAGGGCACAGTGCCTTCCCAATATCCCATCTAATCCTGCCYTCTGGCAGTGGGAGGCCATTCCTCTTTATCCTGTCACTCCAGGCCCTTGTAAAAAACACTAAGTAGCTGGATCACAGTCAGTGTCAGGAATGGCATTCTGAAACATGCACAGAGTCAACTTTAGGAAGCAATGTGTTAGTGATTTTGATTTTCCTTGAAACACTGAATCTCAGGAGCCCAYGTTCATGAGGGATCAACAAATTCAGGGCTGTCCTTGAAACTGAAAGAATTCAGAAAAAAACCCCATCTTCATTTGCTCCCATGTCTTCTGTCATGGACCTGAAACATGAAGAGTGGATTTTGGACAAATTTCCATTACAGTGCACTCTGGAATGGAGRCCTTCCAAAAAAACTGCTTTAGAACCAAAATTTAATTGAGAAAGCAGAGCAGCAATCATCCTGCAGCCCTAATATCAGCAGAGTAACTACATCTGAATGTGCCATGTGAAAGGATGCCAAGCTACTCTCACTCCTCTGAAATGAGAGGCAATTACACCAGCTCTTACCTTCCCTCAGTCTTCCACTCTGTCCACTGACCAGTTGCAAACTTGTACTCAAAGAGGTCATTTTTATTCTTCAGGTTGGAATTGGAATAGATATCTCCAGTATAACCACCTGGACAACAAGAATTCCATTAGACTCCCAGCAACGGAGTGCACAAACTCCCAGGGATTGCAACTTCTCCCAGGAGAAGTTTCAGATTGCATAAAGTATTAGGCTAATGGACTACTACAGAAGGAGACTTCTCCTCCACTCCTTCTCCTGAAGAATCRTTATGGTAATGAGCATCAAGTCTTTACTTTAAACAAAACAGCAAAATATTTCCAAACTAAAGTTGAAATCACAGTTAAGCATAAAAAATACTGGATTTCCTACTGAACAAGATCTTTGACACTTCCTAAGGATTGCTCATTCCTTTTGCAAACCAGTACAGCAGCACATCTACCACTGCCAGCACAACCTGCTGCTGCCTTACCAAACACGAACATGCTGCTTCCGTAGACCACAGCAGAGTGGTGGTACCGTGGTGCCGGCGGCGTCCCCGTCGTGAAAGCCCTGCAAAAGTTACAACAGCAGCAGTCAAACACCCTAGTCGTGCTTTGGCACTCAAAACTACTGGGCAAACTCAGGAAACAACCGTTAGAATTTACTCTGCTGTTACTGAGTGCTTCACAGGTTTTGGATTTTTGATTGCATTAAGGTTTTATGAAACAGCGATATAGCATAAATAGTTACAAACATGCTGCTGCTGAAATCTATTTGTCAGAGCTGAAAAGTGAGGCGCAGGTGAGATAAGACAGACTGCCCAGCGCAAAGAAGAGGAGCCAAGAGAGGTGTGAGCCCCGCTGGCACCTTCCCTGGCCCGAGGGGTGCAGCAAACCTGGTCCCTCTGCCCGCTCATACGCTGCAGGAACAGAGGTGACCTGGGTCCTGGCCCTCGCTACACTGCCCAGCCTTCCCTCGGGCAGGATTGATAACCCCTGATGGCCCAGCACACAGCAGGCTGGCAGGAAGCAGCTGTAACAGCGCAAGGCGAGGTGACACTCCCCCTCGTGTACTCGGGTAGAGTCACAAACTTTTACATTCGGCCCGAAGTGCTGAGGGAAGATGAGGTATATCCTGGCCTTGCCAGCGTCCAGGGACAGCGAGGGGCCGTGCTGCCCACCTGCACCACGAGCAGTCCTTCACGTCRAAACGCAGCAGGTCATTCAGCATCGTCTTTCTGAGGAGAGGGACCGAAGRAGTGGCTTAGTTGGACAGGAGTGCCCTGGACAGGGGCGGCCATGGACCCTCAGCCCTTTTCCCCTCACACCCACCTCCCCTCACACCCATTTCCCCTCACGCCCATCTCCCCTCACACACCGCCCCCCTCACATCCATCTCCCCTCACACCCATCTCCCTTCACACTCCGCCCTCCTCACGCCCATCTCCCCTCACGCCCATCTCCCCCCACGCCCCGCTCCCCTCCCGGCCATCTCCCATCACCCCGCCCTACTCGCACCCATCTCCCCTCAGCCCCGGCCCTGCTCCGCCCGTTCCCAGGTCCCCTTACCCGTTGTCCCCGCCGAACACGTAGATAGCATCCCGATAAGCCACCACGGTGTGTTTGCTGCGCCTGCAGRCGACATGGACAGGTCAGCGGCGCCGGGACCACCCCTCCCACTATCCCGTCTGCTCCCCAGCTCACCGRGCCCCCACGAACTCATCGCAGGGAGGGAGACGGCGCCAGCGGTGCACGGTCTCGAAGGGCCCAAAGTTGAGAGTGAGGTACTCGACGCTGTCCGAGCAGCTGTGGTCGAAGTCCACGCTCGGGGCCACCTTCGAGCGCCCCGCGCCGCCCGCCGGGGCCGTGACCGCCGCCATGGCACGCGCCTGCCCCGCCGGACTACAGCTCCCGGTGTGCCCCGCGCGCCCGCCTTCCGGCGCGTTTGCGGYCTCGTCGGCAGACTACAACTCCCAGCGTGCCCCGCGCCCGGGGCGCCGGCCTAGCGGCTGCTAAGCACTGTACTACAGCCCCCAGCATGCMCCGCCCAAAGGGGGTGGGGCTCAARCGCCACTGCGGAGCGCGTTCTGTGCTTGGGGCCGGGGTGGGGCGGGGGTCGAGGCCGAGCTCGCCGGGCCTGGCGGTACCGGAGCTGCTCCGGTACAGACGGGATTTACAGGAAAAGGCAGGTGGTGTTCTACATTACAAGAGTTTATTTGTTAAAACAAAAAAAAGTCCCCAAGAGCAAACAAGGCCAGTTCATCCCCAGAGACGAGCCCTGAGCAGGACATGTGTGCCAGGCACCAACGCAGCTGTGACAGCGGCCCTTGGCTGTGCATGGCCCACAGCCCACCCTTTGTTTTTCCCTGGTTTATGTTTCCTAACATGGTGTCACCTCTATGACTATTTCGTTTCTTTGCAATAGCAGACAACACAAGTAATGCTGCACCTCAAAACCAGACCTCAGACACTGCTTCACAGAGTCCAGCAGTTTCCATCCTGAGCAATCGCTGTTACTGGTCAGAGGGTTTTTTTCAGCATAGTTCCTGCAGCCAACACAATCCTTTATAAAGGCACATCATGGAGCCTTCAGAATTTTGTTACAAAAGAGGACAATGGAAAAGAGAAAAAGCAACGAAGTCATGAGCACCAGCAAGACTTTGCTGAGGTCCCTCAAGCCATCTCACTCATRGACTCACATCCAATCCAGCCTCTTCCTAGGGATTGCTTGAGTCAGGTATTTCTTGCCAAAGGTGAGTAGTTCTCTGCCCAGGGTGAAATTGCCATCAACAGTTGCTGTACAACCACGCCATCCCAGTGGCAGTCATCATCCCAAGCTTCAGCTGATATGCACCAACTCCATCCTCAGCCAGCTCAGGCTACACCTGAGCAGGAGGGAGAGTGCAGAGCACTAATTCAGCCTARAGGAACAACCTTTCCACTTCTCAAACAATCCTTAAGGGACCCAGTGCCTTTCTCTGTCCAACTGTGCTGTGGGAAACTCAGGTGCCTCTTTACATATAAAGACAGTGACACTTATCCCATTCCTCCCTTCTCACAGTGCTGGAAAAGCAGCTTTTAGCCAAAACACAGATGAGCGCCAGCAGGAACATGACACTGGCCCATCCAGAATTTTGGAATTTCAGACAGACACCTTTGGAATCACACAGACACCCYTAGATGTCTCAGTGTCAGTAGTAATATCAGCCTCATTTTTCATAGGTCTTGTTTAAATCCACCCCTCCAACTTGTCTAAAGACCCCGAGGCACAGGACAGCAGCTCCAACTCTCACTGGAGCACACAAAAACCCCACCAGCACCTCTGTGAGCCCAGGCTAACCAGCCTTCAATGTGCTGTTTCCTCCTGACACCCTGAACACACCTGGATACTTACAGATGTTTGGTATTCACTTCCCTCGAAGCATGGATGGCTGGGTTTGAGCCTCTGCTGCTGACTCACGGGGCAAAAAATGCTGGTCCTGCCTCTTGCCAGAGCTGGGACCAGTTCCTCTGAGGACACTCATGACCTTCCTGAACAGCCATGGGCACACACACCACTGCAGCCATCTGCTTCTTGGTGGGTTTTCAAGACTGCACTGTTCTGTTTAACTTGGCCCTTTCAGCAAAAGCTGAGAGAGAAAGGCCTCAGAACAAAACTCTTACTGGACTGCATGAYAGGAGGGTCAGAGCACCCAGTTTAATTAGATATTCCTATAGACCACAGAATCCGCAGCAAAGAAAGACACTGAGACCTGATGGCATGGGARGAGTTTGTACCTTATTAGACAATAAAAATCAGGCTTCAAACTCCGCTTCTCATAGAGATAGTTGGGCACACAAAATATTGAGGATGGCTCAGAGGAGTCTGCAGAGGATGGGGGGGTTCCACCCTGGCCCTGCCCATTCTCAGGCACAACATGAGACCAGTGAGACACAGAAGGACTCCAGGTTATGGAGGTTTTGATACAACACCGAAGCAAATTATTCCACAAAGGAACATAAAAGTGCCTTTCTTAAAAGGAAACTCTGTAACACGTCAGCCTGTTGTTTTAAGCAGCAGGTACATACAGCACAGGACTCCCTTTCTGTCCAGGTGATTCCCATGAAATACCCAAACATCCTCCAGCAGCATGTGCAGAACGTGTCCTAAAGAGAAACATGTGTGTAAAAAGTGACTTCAGGAAACAAGCACAAGTTCCTTTTAAATCTGTTTTATAAGAAGGATTCCAATGTACATTTTAATAGTTTTATTTTCATTTTCCCCAAAAGGGAACCAAAGGCAGAGAGGTGTTGTGAGATACATCACACTGTTCTCATGGGGAAATCAATTTGCCAATGTTATTTTACCACTCTATAAAAATACACACAGGAGTGTGAAAAAAGCAAAGTTCAGAGTGGCTGTCATGGAGCAAATGTTAAATACAATCAGTTCTTTCCCCCCCACTAAAAACTGTGGCTCCTTGTGCTCCAGAAAATCAGTCTTTCATAGCCACATGCCACAGGAACAGAAATTTAAGTGGTGGCTTCCTCTGAGCATGTGCACACACAAGTGTTAGTGAAGAACTGCTCCCATGGGAGATGTGAGCGACAGAGCCCCGTCCACACCAGGAAAGAAGATATGCACTCAGGTTTATTGTCTCAGCTTCCCCTCCAAACTCCTGTGAACTGGCTCCATCCCATCCAGGTAGCTCTGAAAAGAGTCTGTGGTTCTATAAAAGAAGTCACGTTGTAGGATCAAGATATTTACCCTGTGTTACGTGAGGAGGAACAACAGCCAAGAGGAACAACCTTCCCACTTCTCAAGCAATCCATGAGTGACTCAGYTCCTTTCTCTGTCCGACTGCTGTGGGAAACTCATTCACAGGTAGAGACAGTTTCCTTTTAAAAATATTAAGGACACATTATCTTTATGAACTTCCTGGAAAGTTACTGTGGAAAATGAAAGTGCTCCTGTGGTGAGACCAATGTGCAATGTCCTTGCTGCTTTCTCAGGATTCCTTCCCTTAGCAGATGTGTGTTAAGATGAGGCTCAATACGAGGCCATCGTCCACCTGGACCAGGCAGGCAGACACTGGAAAATGTTTTATGTTCAATCATAAAACRTGGAATTAGCCAAAAATAACCTATTGTTCAGATATGGTGGGTGTGGTCTCTGGAGTGGGTCTATATTCCGATGGCCTGCAGCACTCGCTTCTCGTTGTCATTGAGGTGGTCGGAGAACATGGCATAGCAGGGCTGCTGTGCAAACTGGCACAGGAAGTCGGTGAGATAGGCCTGGGAGGGACAGAAACAGCCCATAAGCACCATCCTCCTGGGAAATACTGCTGCTTCCATGTGTCAGGGGAGATATCACAACACACACCAAGTAAAACCCTGGGACTGAAGGGAACAGAGGGGAGCGATGCAGGAGGAGGAGTGGAATCACAGGGAACAGCTGGAGCAGAAGGAAAAGTGGGGGAGCAGAGGGAAGGGCTCATTCAACAGCTGCAGGTGGTGGGAAAAGCAGGAGCAAAGTGTAAACATGGACCGACTGGGTGGGAGCATCTCCAAGGGGAGTATGAAATTCTGTTATGTTCACTCTCTAACCTACTCCTGACTTCTGCCAGTAGCTGTGAAGCTCACAGGTAAAAAAGCCTCATCTCCCTCTGTTCAAAGAGTTTTGTTCATTCCCATTTCCAAGTTAAAGATATTAATCATAAGCAAAAACAGTTCCAGAAATTCTTGGGACACTCAGCCCTCTCCAAAGTAATTGCAACTACCTGAGTGCCTTCTGRGTGACAATCTGCAACTGGTGCTTCCAGTGCTTACATATTTGTTAAAGTACAACAYTGAAAAAATTTAAGTTTATAGAGAATGATTGCAATCTTATAACACCCCTCATTCTAGAGTATCACCTGGAGATCTATTTGGTAAAGAGGGTCCTTTAATGCATCTGGATCATCCTCTTCATCATCTTCATAGTAATCTTCATCTGTCAGAGGTAAATCAGCAGGTTTTAACATCAAACAAAGCAGAGTATCTCAGGAAGTTTTCTATTAGACTACTGAAACTCAAGGATCCAAAAGTAAATCGTTTCAACACTGCTGGGAAAAAAAAAAATTGTATCCAGAATATTCACTTGTTTAGTTCATGTGATAGAAACCACTGAGCCCCAGAGCAAGGGTCAGTTTGGGCTCGAGGAACACGCAAGTGAGCTGAGCACCCACGGGACACTCACAGGCAGGTTTGGCAAATCTGTGCACCAGGACCTTCTGCCTTAATCCCACGTGASGGTGACACTTTGCCAGGTCTGAGCTAATGTGAGCAGTGCCCCTCACTGGTTCCCTGTCAGGTTTTCCCTTCTGAACTACAGGAAACTGAGAGATGAAGCACCCACTCATCCCTTTATGCAGTACTTGTTCCTCAAGGTCTCTCCATAACGAGCCCACCTATTCCTAGGACACCGTCATGCCAAGGTCACATCCACACCTTTGAGCAACRATTTTCTCTTTAGAAGAAACACCTGCAGGAACCTCCCAGCAGTGTGAAGCCTGTGCACATGTGAACTACCAGGTAATTTTATTTATATGCTGCAATTTGATCACCATGTTACTCAAAGGCATGGCCCTCTCCATAATGTCCTTATTCTCAATCCCAGAGCAGAATTCCTTCCCCGTGCCTGCAGCCTTTGTTTTGTTGCTGACGAGAAGAGACTTTGACAAGAATGTCACCTATTGGATCATTGCTTTGAGTAAGGACTTTCAAGCTGTTACTCACCATACTTATTTGTGGAAAGAATATCTGATAAGAACTGTCCTGCTAAGCCTTCATCTTCATCCTCATCTTCTTCCTGATCCTCCCACATATCATTTGAATCATCTGTTTAGAAAAAAAAAATAATTCTAGAAATAATCCAAATCCAAGAGGTCCAGTCTATGAGCGCTCTATAGGGGACTGTAATTTGCAAGCAAACACATCCCTGCATGTGTGGGTAGATGAAGGGAAAGCCCTGCAAACTTCCTTATTCTTTTGGAATAATGCCACAACTGGAGCCAAGCAAAAGGCAGCAACAAGAATGGATACTTGAAGTGGGAAGAAAGGCAAACCAGATACACCATGAAAGGATCATTTTATTGGCACATGGTCAGATCCCATCTTTCAAACTAGCCCAAAATAATTTTCAGGTCTAAGGATACACAACACTGACTCATCTTATTCTCCCATTTTATTTATTTGTACCTGGAAGAGATTGGCAGCACTTAAAAGACAGCACAGGGAAGGAAGAACTGCTGTGCTAATGATGAACTGTACAACAAAACTAGATCTGAAGAGGGACTTTGGACAAAGAAGAATGGCTTCTCACTGCCAGAGGGCAGGGTTAGATGGGATACTGGGAAGAAACTGCTCCCTGTGAGGGTGGGGAGGCCCTGGCAGAGCTTGCCAGGGAAGTTGTGGCTGCCCCATCCCTGGAAGTGTCCAAGGCCAGGYTGGATGGGGCTTGGAGCACCCTGGGACAGTGGAAGGTGTCCCTGCCCATGGCAGCGAATAGAACAGGATGAGCTTTAAGGTCCTTGCCAACCCAAACCAGTGTGGGATTCTGTGATTCTATGAGCTTATCCTCTGGATCACTATTCAAGCCTTTGTAGTTACAGGTACATGATTTACTGTCACAAAGCTCATATACCATAAATGCTTCTCAAGAGGAGACCAAGTAGATTTAAGCCATGCAAAGAGAAAAAGCAGTATTATACCTTGGCTCCAATCTGCCGTTGTCTGTCTAGATGCATTTGCTTCCATTGCATTAGAGAGTTCATTTATTATTAATTTTAAGATTTTTACTAACAAAGGAATGTTTGTCCAGCGCTCAGGATCTGTAAGAGAAAAAATACATATATTCACACTGCTTTTAATGAAAAGTTAAAAAACAGGCCCTTTTTTGTTGAGGTGGGTTTTTTTTTTTTTTTGCCTAGGGAGGTTGGGAGGGAAAAACAACTGACATAATACCCCCAAATCTTCTTTCCATATATCCTCAGAGCTACATTCCCAAAAACCTCAATGCAATATCAACCTTGCATATTTTGAGTGAAGTGGGGGCAGAAGGAAAATCTTCACAGCTGAATAMATGTGTGACTCTACTCCTTCAGGCTGCTTAATGGAATCATCTGGAGCCAGCCTTTCTTCTCCTGAAGTACATCTGCACATCCACCAATGCTTTCATGTAAATGAGCAGTGCAGTACTCCCAGGCATGGCTCTGCCCTTTCTGAGGCACTGTARGCTCTGACTTTTCCTCACTAGAGTTCCTGCAGAGCCTAACTATTCCATGAGGACAGCTGGACAGTGTATTTGCCCTTAATTACAGAAGCAAAGATCCTACCAATTARAGAATCTGGGAGCATTAGTTCTACTTCTTACTGATGCAAGTATTAATCTTTGTTTAATTCAAATGCTGGCAGTTGCCATTCTTCTGTCAGACCAGACATCAGACTTTGTTGGTTTGATTTTTTTAAGACAAGAATAATTAAGTAGCAAGYGATTTGTGACCACCACTTAAACTCCCTAGCACTTGCCCCTATTCATCTCCTTAGTCCTTCACTGCATCACTCCCAATCCCAAGCCCACAGCAGCTGAAGGCTCAAGGAGCACTGACTACCTGGACAGTTTCCCAGTTTGGATCTGTWCAGCCACCACATCCTATCCCACCACTGGTCACACACGAGCTCTAGCASAGCAAGTGGCAGGACCAAGGTCTGACTGATGGCTGAGAACAGCAGCCCTGAGTGTCCTCCCTCTGGCTCTCAGTCCTCAGGAAAATCTGCCCASGGCTCTGCTCTCTCTGATTTAAAAGATTAATCTCGACAGCACTCCAGTCAAAGACTTTGGGTTCAACCTATTAAAAATAAGACAAGTCTTATGCAGGAGACTGGCCAAACTTTCCTTAAAAGCAATCTCTAACTTGTTGAATCATGCTGTTTGTGAAAGTGTCTCATTAAAAGACACCCCTTTATTTTAAATCTGTGCAGGCACTAAATACATTTTCAGAGAAGCTCAGGAATTATCAATTCTATCTAATGATGCAAAACAGCAGTGAAGAAGTCCCCATTCCATAATCTCCTCATCCAGTTATATTAAATCAGACATCAGCAGTCTTCCCAATCAGTCTTCAGCAGAATTAAGGTAAATAATAGATACATTAAGTACATGATGTATGGATTAAGTGTAAAATCCAACATGCACCTTCTGAAGGCACTATCTCCCACAGGTTTCTGTGAACTGCCAGACCTATTTAAGGCCTTTCATTGCAGCTACTTAAAAAAAAAAAAAAAACCTGTTAAACCCAGCAAAATGATTACTTACTTTTGGCCGACTTGGATCGTGTCCGAATTCCCTCATCCATATTAAATATTTCTTCTCCCTTCACCCTAATGTCCTGAAGTCTCTTGTCATCTGTGTTGATGCCATACTGCAGGAGTTTGCACAGTGCAACAGAGCTGGGAGCAGAGAACAGGAAAATTACAGATAGAAATTTCCCTGAACTATCTGGCTTTCACAGTCTCTTCTAACAGGGAACACATCCCAGAGCAACCACCCCCAGATGCCCTTTCTTCTCCATCTTTGCCAAGAACAAGCATTACAGAATGTTCCCCTGTCTCCTGCTTTATGTCAGCATCCAAAACTGGACTCAGCTCCCAACCTGCACAGCAGGCTGGGAACTGGCCAAGCTTTGGATTAAGCATCACCAACAGTACAGACATCCACACATACATTTTGGGTTTCTCCAGTGCAGAAGGGCCACCAGGTTAAATACACCCTGCAGCACCATGTGCACATGAAGATGGAATTAAAGAGAAAAGAAGTGTCAAGAAAGCAGTGATTTAACTGATCTGAAGCTTATCTACTCCCTTTCTCCAGCCTCAATGCTCATTTTTACTTCTGGTCCTTCGTGACTCAGACTTTTCAGCTTGCTACTATCCTTTACATGTTCTTTCCCGCTCTGCTGCTCRGACTTCTACTCCACACTTTCAAACCTTCTCCAGTTCCAGGCTGTTTTCAAGCACATTGAGGATGATGCTGACTACACCTGAAGGTTGCCAGTCTATGCCTGGCACCCCCAAACCTCTCTCAATCCTAGCTCCACAAATCTCAAACCAAAGTTTGGGAGCTCTGTTGAACTGACCTCTTTTCGTGCTTTCAGTTCTCGCCCTCTCTCTCTCCCACATTACAGCTCTGACTTCTGCTGATTTGAACCCATGTCTTACCTGTCCCCCCCAAACTGCCCAAAGTTTTCCCATCCTTTCATCAAGAYCTTCATGGTGCCCTCAGTGGATGGGGACTGTGCACACAGGCGGTGTCAGCTGCCTTCAGAGTCCTCCTACTAACCCTAAACAAGAGGCTCCTCAGAGCAGGCCCTGTTTTTCCTCAGGACACAGAAACACCAAGCATTTATGCTGGACTATGCTGTTATTAATGTATGGTGTCACCACAATCAGCCAAATCCAAGTGTTTCATACAGAATGGAGCCCTATTACATCACCTGCACACAAACAGCTCTGATCTTGGACAACACAGGCCTAAACAATCACCTTTAACCTTGTTCTCCTGGTCAGCCTTGGTTTTTCCCTGTGCCTCAGAGAATCCTGCACTGTCAAAATGGGGATAAACATCAGGCTTAGGGACGAAACCGGCAGGGTGCGACCAAAAAGAGCACTGGATCCCCAAATCTGCCACTTGTCCTTCAGGATTATTCACTAACTTAGATTTTGAACCTGCTTTTCTCATTATTTATTTCACAGGCTATTTGACTGCCCACAACAATAACACAACAACAGACACGGGGAAGTGAGTTAACAGCTGGCAAGACCCCTAAGAGTGGTCTGTGAAACTTCATGTTTCCAAAAAAATCAAATACAGCAGCTGTGACAAAATTTAAATGCTCTGAWTACAGAGCATTACATGGTTTGGAATACAGCACTCAGCCTCCACCAGAACACAAACGTGCTCCTACAGCAAAAGGGAGAGGAAACCATTGCAATTGATTTCTTGATTGACGTTCAATAGATCAATAAATCAACAAGAAATAACTAATTCTCTTAGGAAACCCTCTACAACACCCTGGAACTCCACAGTAGTCTAAAAGGTAATTCCATGGAATTGAGTATGGAAGAGTATGGAAGCTCTTCTCAGGCCATTCACAGGAGCTAAATCGCAAAAGCAGCCCCGTGTTTGCAGGAGCCTCCTTCCCCCTCATGTGTCTCTGCTCCAGCACAGGAGCACCAGGCAGCAGGAGGAGCACTGATGAGGAAGATCAGAGCTTGCTCCAGTTACCACAGCTCTCCTGAGCAGAACTGACAGCGCAGGGAGCAGCAATTGTGCCCAATGCTGGCACACGCTGCCCCCATCTGAGCCAGCTCCTCTTCCCCACAGCCAGCACTGAATGGCAAAGGGATGAGGGCAGCTAACAGCTGTATCTGTGGATCCCACCTGACTTTGCCTTCATACTGCCCATAGAAGAGGTGCTGCCGGCTCATCCACTCGGCCATCACGAACTCCAAGGCGGGCTTGCCAGTAGGGCCAGGCAGGCTGCACAGGAATTCCAGGAGTGGCTCCAGTTGTGAGTGAACCAAGTGAGCAAACACCATGATCAGGGACTGCACGAGGAGAAAGGCAATGTTAGCTGTACATAATTTAATAGCTGGAAATGTTTTATCAAATATTTAAGGAGCTGGGTTCCCTACAGGAGTGAAAGCTGTGCTTCCGAACCCCAGGAGGAAGGGAAAGTACAACCAGCTGAAAAACACAGTGCTACAAGTGCAGGCAATAAACACCATCACATCATCACCCAGCAGCACCCTCCCAATTCCTTGTGTATTTTGAACGTGATTTTAGGGAAAGAACTGCAACTTTTGAAAAGGTTTGGTTACAAAATACAGTTTTACAGTCTGACTCCTAAAGACCGGGGGCACAACTCATTTGCTGTGTATGTCTAAATATCAGTCTCCCAGTCTGAGGCCATCTCTGCAGCTTTCCTCAGGGAAAAGCTGCCCATCTCCAGAGACCCATCTTCCAGGCTAATATAGGGAAGAGATCTGGCATTGCAAAAGGCTTGGCTACAGGGGCTGCATGGGACTGCTTAAGATTTAAACTTCTGTATCTTTTAAATCCAAAAATAATTAAMGTGAGAACCATTCCAAACAGTTAACAATCATCACTGTATCCAAAGGTAAAAAATCCTAAAGCAGGTGAGATCTGCTGGCACTGGAATGGCTGTCCTGGCATCATGTGCTGGCTTGAAAAATGCACATTCAAAAATCAGAGAAATAAGATGGTTAGGGTAGAGTGAAGCTCAACTGAGTTCTGCACTGRGACAGAGATGGGATCTTGCTCAGCAGTGCCAGCAAAATGTCTTTCCCCAGCTGCTACCAAGGAACCAGGGCAGCCAGCATGAGCTGTTTTACATTGAGGGCACAGACAAAAAAGACAGGAGRAAGAATGAAGACTGCTGGGAAAAAAAATCACTCCAGAAAACTGTGCCACTACAAGTAGGTCAARGCTAGAAGAGATGGTGATGCTCTTTGTCTGGTCTCTCATCTGACTCAGGCCAACTACACCTCCCAGCCACCAAAAGCTGACCTTGTCTCAAGTCCCAGGCATTTACCCTTGGAATACAGAACAAATCCTCTAAAAAAGACATGCTGCCTTTGCCATAGCATTCTACTGAGGCAACTCCTATCCCTCCAAAGAAGGCTTGCAAGCACAAGGGCATGAGGGACTACTGAAGGTGCAGTACAGCTTACCCACAAGAACCTTGCTTACCCTGTAATCTGAAAACAACGTTTTAGACCTGAGAGAACAGCATGGAGCTGTGTCACAAGAAGGTTAGCTGGGTATTAGGAAAAGGTTCTTCTCCCAGAGGGTGGTCAGGCACTGAACATGCTCCCCAGGGAATGGTCACAGCCCCAAGGCTGCCAGCGCTCAAAGAATGTTTGGACAGACTGGGATAGTTGGGGTGTCCTGTGCAGGGCMACAAGTTGGACTCATCGATTCTTTGGGTCCCTTCTAACTGAGGAGATTCCATGATTCTCTGATCAGAGTAGGCATTTTCCTGACTACTTCAAGAGGATACGCAGACCCTCCAATKGCATGAGTCATAAATAATCAGACACAAAATGAAAAAAAATAACTGTTTCTTCTGCTGGTGCTTCTCCTCACTCTCCTAGGTGCCCAGCCTGCTCACCTGCATCACACTGAGCGTCTCCGCTTGCTGCATTTTACTCAGGATCGCTCTCAGGATCTGGTCCAGATTCTCTCCCAGCTCACTTCCAGCTTTCGAAATTAAAGTAGAGACCAGCCTGCCCACAAAGGCAGCGGTGAACTCYGAGGTGCGTGGGTCCAGGAGTTGGCTCACCACCTGCATCACGTACCAGAGCCCGTTGTGGCCCTGCTCGTCRTGCCACTGTGCGATCTGCTCCAGCGCCACCGACACATACGCGCGCAGGCACTCACCACCGTTCTGCAGAGACAAGYAGCGGGTAAGGGAACAGGCAGACACAGGGAGACGTGCCCTTCTACCACCCCAAAACCACCCTGAACCAAGATGAAAACAAGACAAAAACTGGTGGCACCTGTAAAAGATTTACAAGTAATTTCCACAGACTTCTGCTCATTATCAAATACACAACACCTCACTGCCCAGTCAGAAGCAATCAAGATAACTAATAAATACAACAAAAACCTGAAGCAGCTGCAGTTTTGTGCAAGGCGAATGAAATTCAGAGTTCTAATAAGTGAGAGAYGAAGACAGAGAAGTGCGTCCTGAACAAAACACAGCTCAGCTGCAGTCCTTGTGAGTTCTTCTTAGCACAAAGATCCAGCAAAGCAACCAATGTGCAGCACTACAGTCTCTCCTTGCGCGTCTCCAGCCTATTCTTGCTGGTCTGTTGTTCAGGGAAAGACTATATTCCCATGGTCTGTACTCACATGGCAAAGGGTAGCTGCCTCTATGGAACTCCTTAAACCAAGAATGAAACCAGCCTTGTTATTCATATGTCAGCTAGAAGCTGGAATGAAAAGGCTCCGCACTTCTAGCTTCTGATGCTTTCTCCTTGCCTAAATACTCCAAAGATATCAGAAGATAGCCAAGCCTGCCAGCAAGCACAGTTCAGGCAATACTGATGCTGGAGACAATTCCCTGCTTTCCCTCCATCCCACAACTGGCTCAATCAAAAAGAAGTTTGCCTTCCCTTTCCCTCCTAAATGAGTACAGTGGAAAGCTGCTGGAGGAGGAGGGGGAGGGCTATGAGGGCTTTTCCTGCCTTATGACTTTACATGCTCCTGAAGATAGCTTCTAACATTCCCAGGTGTGATAAATGTTATTATGGAGGAAGAAAAGCATTATAGGTTTGGTTGGTTGGTTTTTCTTTTCCTGTGTTGTTGGGCTTTGTTTGGTTCATTTTTTAACATGCTCCAGTGCATCCACACTGATGCCTTCTCCACAATCAGCAATGATCACGAAAGGTCACTGCAGGCCCTGAACAACACTACTTTCATGGCAAAGTGGAGGTGGCAGAGGCTCCGGCAGGTGCTGATAGAGCAAACTGGCAAGCAACTGGGCTCTCTCAAAGGCTGTGTCACCTCTCTTGGACTGGCACAGCCCTGCAATCCTCCCTCTCCCCACAGTGTTACCTGCCTCCCCTCCCCACAGGACTACCTGCATAGTAGCGTTGTCATCTGTGTTCAGGCTGCACTGTGCCACTGCAGGGAATGCCTGGCAGATGAGGAGTTGTGACAGAGGGGGTTTTGTATTCCTCACAACTGTGGTCAGTATATCAATAGAAGTCTGAAAGGAAAGCACAAACTGTCACTGCAATAGCCACAGAACAGGAAGTCGGCACTACCCACCCCTGCTGCAAACATCAAAGGTGTGAACTGCAAGGATGCGGCCACTGCTGCAATCACACCCTGAACTTACAGTCTGGAATAAATTTAAGTGTGAGGACCCTGGAGTCACACACCCAAGCATCCAAAAGTAGAAGTTCCCAAAACAGTTCCAACATCAAAAGCAGTGTCACCACTCCAAACATGCCAAACATGCTAATCAGAACAGCCAGAGAGCTGTTCTAGCTGATTTGTTCTGTTTKGGTTATATTGGCTTAAATTTATTTTAATTATCCATAAGCAATTGTTACAGTCATACCAATTAACAGATTATATGCATATTGATATGGATGTTTATGGGTTTGATTCCATACAGCCACTTTAGAGTTAATGCTTCATCTTTTATTAGGGCACCTGTATAATTTATCTACAATTTATACATATGTGATGGATAAATTAGAAAAAGCCTTTGGAAGAAGCGCAAGGAAAAGTTGTGTAGTCTGCTGGGAGAGGTGACTGCTCCTGCTGCAAGATGGCAATGTCACAGCAAAATGACTGGGGATACTCTGTGGAGAYTGGAAGAAGGCCAGATGAGGAGTTTAAAACAAACTTTTGGAAACATCTTCCTGCACCTGCAGTTTGCCTTTTCTCCACGGTGAAATGTCCCCTAATGACTGAAGGTATTGCTCCAAAGCACGTCCATAGGAGCCCTTCTGCCCTTGGCAGAGCAGCCCCACGGGGGTTACAGAACAGGGAACAACCCCAGCCCAGGCCATGTCCCAGTGAAGCACTTACTGCACATAGCCCCGCGGGGATCTTGTCAGCTGGGGCCTGCATGATGCTGACAAGGGTTGGGATCAGCCTCATCTGCATTGGACCCTGGCAGGCTTCTATTTGAGCCAGCTCCTTAAAAATATCCTGGGCAAGAGAAGCAACGACGGGATCTGCAGAGAGAAAGCACCATTTACTAAAACACACACAAAAACATCTCAATTCTTGCCACCACGATTTTGGCTGGTAAAGCAGCAAGTTTCCCCTCTACCTCTACCACAGAATCAATTGAATGGTTCATTCAATGACWATTGATTAAGCTTTCAGCAGCAAGATCCACCAGCTAAACCAGCTGTGCTTTGGGAATGTAAGTGGAATGCATACCGTTACTGTACTTGAGGAATATTGCAATGGTGAAGGGGCAGATCTTATTCTCCATGCTGGCTGTAAATGCTGGGTCCACTGTGCACACAATGCACAGCGTCTCCATCACCAGGTTCAGCACCTCGGAGCTGAACTGAGTTGCCAAGTGAATCAAGCCATCCAGAATGCTGGGGAGGAAAGGCTGCAACACATGGGTGCTCTCGGAGATCTTCAGCTGGTCACAGTAGCTGGACAAGAAATTTGTGATATAAAAATACCTTCCTAGTATATTGACGTAACTTATGTATTTCATTCTAGATRATACATAAGGGGTTGCTTCATCCTATCCATTCTTATTCCTTAACTTCACTCCTCTAGGGCTCCTCTCCTTCAGTCAACCACTGCTTGACCTCCCAGCAGCTCAGTAGGAATGAGGAGGAAAGCTCTCAGCAGAAATCTTCCCTCCTCATTCCACCCTGATGGTCACACAAGCAGAGTTAAGCCAAGTGATGTTAGAAGCTTCTACTGCCCCTCAGTGACAGATCTCTCCTAAGAAACTGCCCATTGRTGGAGAAAAGGAAAAAAAGTCCAGGACAGACATTGCTTAGAAAGTGTTTTGTTACCATATTCCACAAGTGAGCTAGGGGATAATAAAGCAATTTCAGGAATAAGTAACTCTCTGACTTTATTTATTCATTAAAATTTCATTGCAAATAAGAGATAAAGTGCCATCTGGGAAGAACAGAGTGGGGAACAGTCAAGTTTTTGCAGATTTTTTGTGACYGGTTTTTTGATTTTACACTGATGCTTATTTTTTACTTTAGAATCAATACAGCAGAGTTCTTTCTGATAAAAATGGGGTAAGAAAATCAAACCCCAAACACTCCTTATTGCTGTGACTGGCTCCATAGGCCTCTATGATGTCAGCCACCTTTATGACCAAACAGGAGTAATCCGAGTTTCATCCCTGTGCTTTTCAACACTACCTAGTGCTGCTCCTCCCAGTGACCATATCCATCACAACACTTCACTGTAGCCAACCTCGAATCTCAATTCCATATTCCTCATTAGAGTTACTCTATTTGAACCTGTTTGCTCACACTTTTTAAGCTGATATCCATTTTATTCAAAGCAAAACCTCCCACAGCCCAAACATAAATGTTAGTTTTTCAAACCAGTTTATCAGTGAGATTTATAGCCCTGTCCCTGGGGCTGTGGAATAGCTCAGGATTTGCTTACCCCCAGATGGCTCTGACTGCAGAGATCCGGACAGAGGGGGGCTGGGTTTCGTGCAATCCACTGACAGTGGCTTGCAGGAACTGCTGGATGAGCTCTGGAGACATGGCCACAGTGAAACGGCTGGCAGCCCACAGGGCCCGGCCCAGGAGGAAAGGAGACACTGCAGCAAAACAAAAAATGTCAGTGGTTTCAGAGTAAGCTTTATGAGCTTAAACCCACAGCTGCTTCAATCCATTATTTAAAATCTTGTCATCCCAATAGGAAAACACTAAAATGTGACACACAAAACAAGTGTGGAGGCATACAAAGCATTTTTGTTCATAGGCAGAATCCAGTTTATTTTCTTAGTTACTTCAAAGAATAATTTCTCATTTATTAAAAAACTTYCTCCCTTCAACTATTTACACTTGAATTTGTTCATCACTGAACAAAAGCAAAGGAAGAGAACAGAGGCTTTTCCKGTTATTCCCATTCGTCCAGCTCAATATTCTGTCCCCAACTGCAGAAAACAGCAGCATCTTAGGGAGAAGAATTAGAGTAACAGAGCTCACATGCAGAGACCTTTCAGAGATTACACTTCTGGTTTCCAGCTATCATCTTGCAGTTACAGAACAGAATTCTGTGGTTCACCAGCACCACAGAAGCAGTGGGCACTCATTATGCACTCACCTGCTTGCACTCACCAAGGWCTGACATATCTTTATCACACTTAACCCTGCTACCTTTTCAGGCTACGAATCTCCTTACCTATCTAGGCTGGCCTCAAAGGGATGATGCTCTCTGTTCCTCAGCATCTTTACTGCCATTATTTATGCTCCTGCAAGTACTAATTTTAAGATGAGGACATAAAACACTCTGTGCAAGATGGACAGCAAGAGAAGAGCTTTCTTTTTTAAGTTAGTATCATAAAACACAACATTTCTTTGTCTGTACCATCACTGACCATTAAATGGATATCCTTGGAGAGCCATCAACACACTGACTCAGGGAGCCCTTCTAGAGCACAATAGTTCATTTACAACCCAATGCCACAGATGTAAATGTATGTAAATATATGTAAATTGATGAGGTTGGCTTCTTACATGCATCACACACTATGCACTTTGCACACTAGTTATTCACTCAAAATTAACACAAAGAAAAGGAAAAAAACCTTCTTTGTAATGGACTAAACAAGTGTTTCTTTGAAGAAAGCACCCAGGAATCAGKTTTTTTCAGCACTGACAAAATTCAATATGGACTCATTATAATGGTAACATTGCCTTAAACTTCTAAAAATTTAATTTGGAAGGATTTTGAGGTCTGACTTTCAACAATTCCTTTGACCTTCTTGCACACTGATGTAAGATAACACAGAGAGAAAAATCCTGCTGAGTTCCCCATAAACAGAATCTCATTTAGCCGGGAGCATGATTTGAATTCATGCGCTACAACTAGTGTCAGCCTCAGCATAAAACAAATGGGATGATATGGTGCTGCAGGAATTCTGGAGGCGGTTAAACACTGCTGGTGACTTTCCCAGGAACAGACATRAGACAACAGAACTATTTTCCACCCAGCTCCCCAAGTCCTACAGGYTCAAGCATCCAGCCAACAAGAAGATCCAGCTGAAAGCACAGTCCACCTATAACGGACTTACACTAGAACTGGAAGCACGTGGGAACTCACAAGATTTAGTTTTTTCACATGAGCAAGGTGCACAATTTTCCAATAGCACATGCACACATCAATCTGACTGATYCATCAGAGATTCCCAGTGTCTGGCACCCAGCAGTTATGCCCAGGGATACAGGGTCCCACATACCTGAAAGGTTGAGGTCTGCCAAGACCACATTTGTCAGGAAGCCATGCATATCAAAGTGTATTCTCCCATTCTTCACACTGTCTGTAATTATAGACTTGACTGAGCCYAGGGCCAGCATACATGCTTCATGTATTTTCCACCTGCAAAAGAATTCAGATGCCTTAAGACTTCTCCTCCATCATCACTTCAAGAAATAAATACATAYTCTGCAGTGAAGCTACAAGCAATTTTTTGGTCCAAGCTACCACAACTACTTCCTTGATCCAACCCAAAAGAGAATTTTAAAATGCCCTCACAGAGATGAACATTCACAAACTCTGTAAGACAGGGGCTTTGAACCTCTCTTGGGATAAACAGCATTCTCAGTCAGTTCCTAAAATATTGGTGGAATAGTTGCTACTTGTACCAATTTTGTGCTTATAATAAAAAAGGAATGAACCTCTTCCATGTAAGCTTGTGTTCCAGCCACGCCTTCACTATTTATGTGCAGAAGCATTGGGTTACCCAGTACAATAAAGGTTTAAAAATGTCTAATTTTGTATTAATATTTTGCTAATTGTAATGATACAGAACTATGTGCAAATACCACCTCTCTTTGGTTTTATTTGTGAAGCCAAGACCCTACTTTATGGCTTCTCACAGTTGAGGCAGATGGGGACTGAATGTCTGATTTCACAGTTATTTAGTCGCTGCTCACTATCAGAGAGACTACTCTGACACTACATTCAAACTAAACACAAACACTGAACCACTGCACTGTAAAACTAGGAGAGAATCACTGTGGATGAGCAACCAGGTACTCCTGCAACAGTTTTCTTCTATCCCCAAACAACATTAAAAGCTGCAACTCTAAAGTTCTAAAATTGAACACATATGTCAGCACCTATAGCTCTTCTTGACATCAAGCCAGAGAATTTTTTTATACATATAGATACGTATGTTAATGAAATTTTTATCTCAATTAACTGAACATAAAGTATTGCCAGTTTCTCTTCTGATTTTGTGTAACTAATTACCATTTCACATGAGATGCTTTAAGGATTGTCAAGCTCGGCAAGGAGGGAGCCTGGGCACAGATAGGTTGTGCTAGAAACTGCCCAAAGTACCCCACATCAAGATTTCATTGTCTGGCTCAAGAACTGCTGTACTTCCTTTTGCTTCTTCTAATCAGAGCTCTCCAATTCCATCCTTGCCCATCAGTAGCATTGTCACAAATGAAATGTGATTAAATCATGGTGCACCCAGTGCTGCAGATGAGCTCAACACCCGCCCAGCCCTGTCCCCACCACCCCAGCGCTGTCCCCTCCGTCCCAGCTCCTCACCAGTGCTCAGCGCCGCTGTTTTTAGCTTGCTCAGCTTCCTGCAAATGCCTTGTAGCTGCTGCTGCCAGAGCAGTTGCACTCTCATTCTGGAAATCAGCAGCCACAGCCTGTGAAGAAGGAAATGGTTAACACTCACGTGTGTGGACTGTTAAGTTGGTCTTTTCTCTAAATGACCCTCTCGAAGTCAGGTTTGATATTTGTTATCATTATTTCAATAGCTAAATGTGAAACAGATTTCATACCAGCAACAGATCCTGAGCAGCAATTCTCACTGTGTAGGAAAACGTATCATCATCTTCATCCTCCACAAACTGCTGTGGATTCGCAGTCCAAACTTTTATCTAAAGGAGACAAAAAGAATAGGGCAGCTGAGAATTCAGGACACCATGGGTAAGAGGCAGCTTTGCTGTTCCCAGCAACCTGTTTTGAAAAACTACTTTCAGAATTTTTCTGTGCCATAAGAAGCCTTCATCCTCAACAGATTTTTCTTCTATTCCACTGGAGAAACCTTTGAAAAGAAGAAACTCTTTGTTCTGAGCTCATTTTGCTCTTCTGCCCCTCATTTGAGATCAGAGTTTGACAGAACTAATGACTGACCTGGAATCAATGCTACACAGCTTTATTTTTAGATGAGGAATGGGAGAAGCAGATAAATCTTTCAACAGAGTGCTTGTTTTTATGCATGCCTACCTAAACTAAAAGATGATGGCTGTCAGGCTTGTGAGGCCAGGAGCCATGTAGGATTTCAGTATAAATTATTTCACCCTACTAGCACAACATTTTCACTCTCACAGAAACCTTTCAGCTTGATAATCCTGATTTTCACAGCACAATACATCATGGAAGAATGAAGGAAGAAAGCCTGAAAGAGCTGGGGGTGTTCAGCCTAGAGAAGATCTCAGGGAGACCTTATAATTTACTTTAAAATGAAGCCCTTTTATCAGGGCCCCAGGACAAGGGGCAACAACTTTAAACTGACAGATGGTAGGTTTAGATTACAGAAGAAATTCCTTACTAAGAGGGTGCTGAGACACTGGATATGTTGCCCAGAGAAGTTGGAATGTCCCATCACTGAAAGTGTCCAAGGCCAGGTTGGACGAGGCTTGGAGCAACCTGAGATAGTGGGAGATGTCCCTGCCTATGGTAGGGGGTGGGACAACATGGGCTTTAAAGTCCCTTCTGACCCAAACCCTTGGGTGATCTGTGATTTACTGTCCACTTTGCACCATTTTGGAACCTCTAAGTGCTGCCACAGCAAAGTGATGGAACAGCCTGTTAGACTACAGCAGCTTCCACACACTGAAACTCTTCCCAGGACACTTGCTGGTTTTAACCTCTCATTTCCTTTGTTTCCTATACAACATAAACATGCTCACCTGCTCCTCTGTAATCTGCATGTAAAGCAGGATGTAATAGATCAGTTCTGGCAGAGCCTTCTTCACTGTGCTCTTAAATTTGTTGTTTTCCAACAAGGCATGAACAAATTCAAATATGCTGAACACCAGGTTCTCAAAGCCCAAAACTTCACCTGAACAAAGTGGGAAAACCAGAAAAGAACATGACCTAATATGCCAACATACAAAAAGGTACAAATGGATGTGAAAATAATTACAAACTGCTGGCTTGTCTGAGCAGATATTTATTCATTCTCCTGGACTAGCAAGTGCAGCAGCAGCCCCAGGAGGATTTCTAACCTCACCACTTTCTGCTCTCTACCCACCACACACCCCTCATTAAAATTTATCAAGCTCAACCTAAAACCTGTTTGATTTTCTTTTGTCCCACTACTTTTACATCAAAATTGCTGCAGAACTCACTCCTCGAACCATTAGAAAACTTAAATTGTGCAGCTTCATTATTCACAATCTCAGGTATTTTGCAAAGAGGTGATGGACACCATTCCAATGCTGTAAATGCACCTTTAGCACAATCTTCCACAATGTTTCAGTCACTGTTTTGACTGCAATATTTAGGTAAGTCCATTCCTCTCCAAAAAGCAGAAGTGAAGTGCAAGTTCTTACCATCAGAATCCACAGGATCCTCCACCTCTTCTGTGTAATTTACTTCTGTTCTCACATAAGTGGATAGAGTTAAGGAAATGCTTTTTTTCTAAAAAACAGCATCTATTTTGGAATGAATCTGTTCCTTTCTTAAAATTCCTGATAACTAGGGAAGGTTTGTTTCCTAAAAAAAAAAACTTTGATTTTGTGTGGAGTAGGCTCTGCTTCATAGAGAAAACGCCCCAAGAGCTCCTGGCTTTGTGTGTTGCCCAAGTTCAAAGACCACTTTCCACAGACCACTCACACATCACTTTAGCACACTCTTCATATTTGATTAACTTAGATCAAACCCACGAAGGCAACCCAAAACTTAATTTAAGTTAGCWTTGCAAGAACAGAATCCCTCAGATTCACTCTTTCCAAGCAATGTAGGCCAATCCAACACCTCAGTGCTGCCCTAGAGTGAAGAGCCACCCCGTGCTCCCACATCCTACTTTAGGTTGGCTCTGCTCCCTACCAAGCCTCTCTACAAGCTCCAGCCCTGGGAAATGGCAAAAAACTAACCTGGGRGTAAAGAGGAAAGACTTTTCATGGGGATGGTAAACTGAAGGTCCAACAAGTCCAGAGCAAATACAAACAAAAGCCCATTTTGTCGGCTCAGGTACCAATAGGACTGTTGTAGGAGTCAGGACAGGAGAGGGAAAAATGCACCATCAAAAGTCCAACCAACAGCTCCTTGTACTTTCATAGATTCACAAAATGGTTTGGGTTGGAAGGGATATTAAAGATCATCTAGTTCCAATCCACCTGCTATGGGCARGGAGACCTTCCACTATATTTTAACAGGTATCTGAAAAAACAATATGGAGAGACTTGAATTGCCAGTTTTCAAGTACTGGGCAATGCACCCACAGACCACTCTGACATGGCTGAGTGTGCAGCGGAGCAATGACTGAAAATTCAAATGGCAAATCCAGCTTCTACAGCAGGTGCAATCACTTGTTCTAGAATCACTAGAACCACTAGTTCTGCTGCAGCAAGGGGCACTGCTGGTTCTTCTCCAAAGTCTGCGACTAAAATCTTTATAAGAARACAATTTTTACCAAAAAGTACCAGAAACAGTGCAGAGCTTGTGGCAGTTATACAGCCACTGTAACGTGGGCACATRCATGCATCTGCATACATTTTTAGTTAACGGGAACTTAATGAGCCTTCTGAAGTAACAAAAATATCTTGTTTTGTCTGACAGTGCAGAGCACTCCACGTATTGTGCTCCTCCAGAGTCAGGTCATTACTGGGTATCACACTGAGTTTGTCTCATTTGATTCCAGTTAAACCCACTCACTACCAAGGATATAAAGCAGCACTTTCCGTAAGGGTGTTCCAGACAATGGGCAGGATCTGCTGCATTGATGAAATCATGTGCTTTGGGTAGTTTTTCACAAGTGCTGTCACAGCCTGAAACCAAAAAGAATATCAGTCAGAAGTGAAACTGGGAAAGCCATCAACACACTCAAAATCACAGGCTGCTGTTTCATTAACAACTGAGATAATCTAAAGTCTTCCTCTCACWCCCCTCTCTTGCTCAAACACTGGCSAACAYACCTCTCTCGGTATTTCCTCTTCTGCAGGGAAGCAAACGGATATTACAAGATGTTCCACTGTGGCATGAAGGCAATGCCATGATCCAGTGGGGTAAGACAAACACTCCAATCCAAAGCACATCATTGTGCAGCACTGTCTGGATACAATTATCCTAGAAGCTGTCTTGTCCCAGAAAATGAACTCTAATGCCATGTAAAAYCAGACCACTGCCCATTTTCCACACTTCTACTGATGCAGGCAACACATCCATTGCACACCCAGGGAATAGCTGCAGAAGCAAACACTCACCCAGATCAATTCCCTTCACATTCCGGCTGCAGACACAGGTGGYTGTACCAGCCCAGCAAAGGCGCTGCTCTGGGAGCAGCTTAGCAGCTCCACAGGGAATTTTACCTGGACTTTCATGAAGCTGATCACCCTGATTTAGGGGAGCCTTCCACTGACAATTGCCAAAAGCCTTTTGGGATCCTCCAACAGTGAGAGAACTCTCACTCTCCCATCTCCTTACCCTGGGCACAGCTCCAGCCGTGTTGCACTTGTTATGGAACAGACCCTCACAAATTGCCTGAGTGGCTGCTGCTCCCACACGGGTGTCAGTTTGTTTGCACTTACCCAATACAAATAATTTTGTGCAGTTTGTTTGTTTGCAGCACTGGGTACATTATTAGAAATTAAAAAATAGCAATTCTCCTTCCAGAAAAACAACAGCAGTCTAATATCAGTAACAGAAACGAGCAGGCATCAGGGACAACCCAGATATATGGGTTTGGGAATGAGTCTGGGAGGTGCTGAAGTCTCTAGAAAAAAAAAAAAATTATGCAGCTGCTGGCAAAAGATGTGAACCTGATCTTCAGGACTGCYGCAAACTCAACACCCTGCCTAGGGCCATAGGAGCATCTAAACAGACTCATTCCATATGCCACTGCATATGAGCCCTATGTAAATGTTTCTAAACGCTTTGCCTAGCCAAATTTGCAGGAAGCACTGCTGAAGTGCTAAGAGAGCTCTTCATTTCAATAGCTCTGCAGGTGTAACAATAGAAGGCTGTATTTGCAAGGTCACCAGAGTCCTGCAGAGTAAGTCATTAAAAAACAGAGCACTCTCCTGTCAGATGTTGTATTTCAACCCCTGGCCYTCATTCTGCTTATTCCCACTGCTTGTCTGAACTCAAAGAAATGCTTCACAGATCCTCTGCCAATCCCCACGTATTGCTCCACCACCTATTAATCCTTCAAGAAAGCCCTTATCCTTCTCTCTTCAGAGCAAAAGCACGCAAAGGCTCCTTAAAGTCATGCTATCAAAGCCTTTTTTACTGCTTCTTTTCCTGATTGCATCTTTCAACAGAGAAGGAACTCCCCAATTTTTGGATAAAAAGCTTAAAATACACACTAGAGAGCATGCTAATGCTGACTGTCAGTCAGAGTTCAGCAGGGGCAGGTGAAATACCTTGTTCACAAACTTGGGAAATTTGCCCCAAGACACAGGTACCACCTTATCTTCTATCCAATAACAAAGAGTTTATGATCAATTATTTTTTTCTAGCTAGTTATTTGTTCCAATGTCAGGAAAAATTTAAGCTTAACTTCTCTGACCCAAAGGTGTCCAATAGCTTCTAAGCACAAATGAAGAAGGCTGTMAGATGCTTTAGATTGTTGGTTAATTGGTGTTTCTGATATATTACTGCACATCAAGTACACCATATTTGTATTCCACTGTTGYGAAATTTGCCTTAAATCTGCCACCTGTCATGTTTAATCACTCTGTTTCTCTCAAAACAATCAATAGTGGCATGYTCAACACTGGAAATGGGATTCAAGAACACACAGCTGCAGCTCATTCATCCTTAGAGATACCAATTTAATTCATGCTGAACTATCAAACACAAAAATAAATTACACCATGGKTATTTCCTTCTAGTTCTCACAGCTGATGATATTTTTGTTGTGGCCAAACCTCTCAACTCCTTCAAAGACTGAAGGCCCTAATTTCCTGCTGGTAACTGCTTATAAACTTGTAACTATACTGGGAACAACTTGGGACACATCAACTATCAGTGTTCCCCATGATGTGATCCAAACTATTCACTCCCTAAACCTGGATAACTGTCCCAGGGGATCAGGCAGATGTACACACKGCAATAGCATTCCTTAAAGCTTCTGATATTGTCCTGTAGAACATTCTGACATGAACAGCACAACGGTTTAGATCAGACTGCATCTGATTTCATCAAGAACTCCATGAACCTTGRAGTACAAAGCTCTCAAGTGACAGGGAAGGAAAAAAAGGTTTTCCTCTCATTTGCCGAAAAACACTTCATTAAGGAAAAGAAGATGGGATTGAGTTTGCATCTGGCTGAAAAATGTGCTATAAAAAAGTCTCAATTCCCTCTTCCATTGCATCAGCCTTTCAAGGGGTTTCTGTAATGATCTCATCTGTAGAGCTGGCTTAAATAATCCCCTAAGGTTTCCTACTTCTGCATTACAATGACTATAAAATCCACTTCTCTGGAAGTGAAGGCAATTCACGGGTCTTTCACCTGAATCCCTTTTCCSTTAGAAAATTGCAAACATCAGCTTAGAAACCCTAAGTGACAAAACCATGAATTGCCTTATGTCAACAGCCAGAACACTCATCTCATCACAAAGAGCCTCCTACTAACCACTTGTCAGCAGCAGATCTCCTGAATTTACTGTTTAAATCCACACTGATTCTCTGCTGCCATCGATGCCACCCAACACAGAGTAGCATATTCAGATCCAAATCCTCTTGTGTTGCACCTCCCCTGCAGAGGCCAAAAGCAGAGACCCTCACACATTTAAGGAGCAGTGCAAGAACATGGTGACGTTTCCTCAGAGACTTTCCCAGCCTGTCACATYGCTCAAGAACCTCCTGGTGGGACCAGCACTGACATACCCATGTGAACAGCCCATTGGCAGCAAGCACTTAGGTAAAGAACAGAAAAGACTGCAGAATGCATGGATGTAACAAGAACATTAATAGCGTGGCCCAGTTTAGAGTGAAGCCATCAGTTACAATTGCTTTCTGTGCAAGCTAAAAAGTACTACTACTCATTAACAATCCAAATGTGCATATCTGGAGTAAGAGATTGAGACATTCTTGAGCTGCAGCCTGTTCAAATCAAGATGATACCTTGAAGTGCCCCCTTCCTTGATGTTGCTGTTCCTATATATCACTGCCCCAGGAATCCCATGAAAACAACAGAAAGGAAAAAACCCATGCACAAACAACAGAAAGGAAAAAACCCATGAGACACTCTCGCAACAAAAACTGCCATTATCCTTCCCTGAACTCCTTTCCAGCAGTGCTGCACAGCAAGAACAGCTCCAGCTGCTCCCGGAGCATGAGACCYGCAGCCCCTCACTGACAAGTCACAGAAGCCCAGAACAGGTACTGCTGCCTTGAACAGGTCTGAGATTAGCTCCACAACAGAGCTCAGGAGCTGCTGCTTTATGTAATGCAATAGCACCCTCCCAGCACTTATTTCAGTGTTTCAGCACAAAGCTGGTTATCCTGAAAAACTTTTGACACTTGCCTTCAGTAACTTCCTTATTGCTTTCTTCAGGGAGTGTGGCTAAATGGGCCTCAGTGCCCATCCTCAGAAACCTGAGTGTCGCTGACCCCAGCAAACAGGCAGGGAAATGAATGATCTGGATTTGATCCTGCAGCTTATGCTTTTGGCTCTTTGCTCTCCCATGCTGCAGCAAGCACACCCTACAACCCCAGTGTTTTCCAAGCCATTACAGGGGCCTGCTCTGGCCCTCATCCCTGTGCACACAGAGCTCTCCAATCCAATCTCTTTTCACCAAGAAATCAGGACAATACAAAGACCTTCCACCTTTCCCAGAGATCATTTAGCATTCAAGAGCAACCAAGTTCCAGTAAAGCACCTGCAYTTAATAAGCTTTTACAACCTCAGCGCAGAATTCTGCAGCACCTTTAGAAAAGATTGGTATTTAACTACAGATTATRGACTCTAAGACACAACCAGGATACCCTATATCAACAAATGACAAGCACAGATGGTCCTATGAATTGGATTCCTGTGGATCATTTTACACACAGATCCCCATGGATCTCATCATAGGTATCTTCAGTGCAGGCAAACAATTTATTTCACTGTTGATGGTGCCAGGAGCCAAAAACCTTCACTGTTCATATCATGAGCAATACTGGGAGATGTGCCACGCTCTTGAGTTTCTGTTTTCCAGCACATGAGAGTGCGTGTCGGTATTCAAATCTTTATTCATTTAATCAGCCCTAAGTGACTCACCTTTAAAACTTCCATCTTAAACCCACTATCTGATGTTGGTCCATCAGGCATCTGCAGCGCCTGGACAAAGGCTTCTGTGAACTGCTGCACCACAGGAAAAATCAGGACCTTSGCTGCACCCTGGTTACAGACAATGCAAGCACAGGTGAGTACCAGACACAGAACCCCCACATCTGACAGGCAGAGCAATAGAAACAACAATTGCACTTTTCTGGTACAAAATGGAAGAGGGACACATGGCAACTGCAGAATATTGAAAGTCACACAAAAGTTGTTTCAGACATCACTTGGGCTCTCTCTGTATATTAAGAACTAAGCTCAGCTGAATCCCACTCTTCAAAACCCCACAGCACAGGCTGCCACAAAATACACACATCTATCTCATTGCTTCMGAGTCTCAAGAGAGATCCAGACAATCCAGTCTGGAGAGCCCCAGGARCAGTGCTCACCTTCCTGGAGAGACATTTCATTTGATGAGCTGAATCCTGCCCTGCACCCCACCATCCCCAGGCTACAAAACAAACCTGAGGTGACTCCACCATACACACAATTACCCAAACCCTGCGGCTGGCATTTATCTCCCTGCAGAGCCTCCATCTCCCAGACCAAACAGGCTGAGTATCAACAGCTGGCCTGAAGATTAACAGGATGATTCTTCCTAGGAAAATGCAGCAAGTATTTTTCCAGATGTCAAAGCACTCCATAAGCAGTCCTTGGCAAAGCAAGTAATACTGGACCAAAATAATTTTGAGATTATTCCTCATAACTCCATAGCCAAGACAGCAAAGTCCTATGTATAAATCCAGGAAATTTTATTTATAAAAAGATTCCCTTTTTCCTTTTTTTTTTTTTTTTTTTAGATTCCCTTTTTCCTTTTTTTTTTTTTTAAGAAAAATTTCAATAGCAAAGGTTTAGTATTCAATGTAATACTTTCAGCTCTCTTCCAGTATAAGAGTGGGGAGCTACTACTATCTTTTGGATACTGGCACCAGCTGCATGATACAGTGCATAAATAAACTTGTCATGGCAGTACAGACAGAGAGAATTACCAGAACTTTCCAAAAGTCTGCACTGGACTGCTCCCTGTGCAAACAGGGAGAGAACAGCACATTGAGCCACTCAGCAGTGACCAGCCATTAGATTGAGAGTACCCTTCCCTATCCTTACACCCCAAAAAGTTCAAAGTAACTATTTATTATCTGGGAGTGCCAGAGAAACCACTTGTCAAGGGCCATTTAAAATGCAGATGTTCTCAGTTAGATCCAGACAGGAGACTCATATATAAAGCTGCTTAACTGCAGTGTTTGTTTCTTAACAGCTATTCTTCCAAAACTAGGCTGGGTTCGGCTTCCCCCACCCCTTCAGGAACACAAGGCCATGGCKCCTCCTTAAGCACCGGGTGAAGCTCCAGGAGCCTGGAACCAAAGCCTCGCCTAAGGGCCCTGGTCAGCCAGACAGCCAAGGCCTGGCAGGGTATGGGAATGCATGGTTCACCTGGAGACTGGAAGCTAAGACAGGGATTTTCAGACAAAGGGATGATACTCTGTCTCCTCCCCATGCTGACTYCCCCCTTCCCTGAGCTGTTACAAGCATGTCTGTTGATAAGCCATAAATTAACCCTAATTATGGAAACCAAGTCCCAGTATCAAGGCATGCATGCAAAGCAGGGAGTCAGCCACTTTACATGTATTAAATTACAGCCTCTTCCCCCGAATTCCAGCTGACACAGTACATAATTTTCCAACGTTTCATTTCCATATTAACAATTATTTAGAACCTCAGTTTGAATTCAAAGCATCTTGTATGTTAAGTTAAACTCTTGCCTTTTCCAACTCCTCCATGTTACAGATCATGTGGGCACACGTTGTAAATATCTCCACTGCACGAGACCTTGTCCGAATCCCATACACCTAGAGAAAAGTTAAATATCAGGAACACAAGATTCTTTTTACACAAGATATTTCCTTTCATTATATTTTAATTTTATTTCATTTTTTGCTTTAGCTTCATTCTCTTCTTTTATCACTGGCTTCAGCTTTTCTGTTGAAACAATAGTTGATGGCAGCTATCACATCATCAAGAAAATTCCTTCAGTCTAACTCATACTTACAGTATGACTTCACCATTAAATCTGGCGTTTCTCTGTTCCAAGAAACATTCCCACTAATTTCATCCAATASCAACCTCACTGTGAAGATCATACCTCTGCCATTGTGAAAATTTTGTACATCTCTGGAAGAATGACTGGAGCTACAAGTGGCATCTGTATGTCTGTCACTTCTCGGGTAAATTCTAAAAAAAGGAAAAAGAAGCAAAGATCTTGTAAGAAATCTAATTTGTAGGCAACAGCAACAATAGAACCATTGGGAAACACTAAAGTGTATTGGAAATATGTTGATTTRCAATCCACTAGACCAGGGTCATCTGATCTAACTGAGGCAATCCTCAAAGGCAAGCAGAAAAATACTGCACTAAAAACTACAGGTATCTGGAAAACAGGGTGTTACAATCAAAGTCCCTGCTGAGCTGTAACCCGAGCACAGCACCTCCTTTTCCAGTGCTCATGACACCTGCTGAGCACATGATTCCACAGCCAGCAACAGGCACCAGGCCCAGGAGAAGAGAGGAAGAAAATTCCCATTTCTTCAATTTGTATGAAACATGACAGAATATAGGCACAAGGAAAAGCCCAAAAAGCTTCCTCCAGCAACTTTGGCCAGCCCTGGCAGCCACACACCTGTGAGCACTCTCATGGCTCCATGCACTGCATTGACATCGCCGCTGACCAGCATCTCCATGAGGAGGTTGAAGAGCTCAGGCCATGCCTCGGGCCAGTCCCAGTGGGCGATGGCTGACACGGCGTAGGCAACACTCGAGCGCACCTTGCTGATAGACTCCCTCAACCCGTTGGGCAGAAGCTCCCTAATAGCAACTTTTGCCTGCAGAGAACAACAGTATTTAGGACAGATKCACAGCTGTAACATAATCTAATAAAAAAAATTTGGACCTACAACTGTATCCTGATATTCATTCAATATTGGTTTTACAAAATGAATATCCAGGAGACAAAAACCTTCTTGCACACCACACCCCGTAAGTTTTTAGGGAAAACTGCATGGTGTGTTTTAACATAACATCTTCTCACATGAAGCATCAGACAAACACAGAGCAAATAGCTCACAGCTGCAGCTACGCAGGAYGTACAGATCTACATGGAAGACATCCAGAGTTAGCTGAGATASATCCCAGCTCCAGTGTCAGGGTCTATGTTTGCTTACTTTGGAAAATTTCAGTAAACAAGAACAGTCACTCAGCCCTGAAGGGACAGGAAAAAATAAAAGCCACTTCTGGGGTGTAATTCAAGCAATTATCTCTGGATGGGATGAATCATACTCTAGATATGAAAGATGCTCCACTCAACAWGCAGAGTGGAGAGGGCTGGAATCTCTGGCCATCTTAGCTGTTAAATACTCCTWCAGAACAGATTTTTAATGAAACCCAGCAGCTTTAAATTAAAATTTGTCATGGGAAAATAACCTTTAGGTCCCAAGATGYATAACAAAAGATTTAGCAAATCTCCAAAGGACTGCCAGAACCAGTATTTGTGAAACTTAGAAAGCAGCTTTTCTAGTGTTGCTCTGAGAGCAGCAGAAGCATTATGGCTGATCTTTCCCTACAGGAAGCAGCCCAAGCTTCTCAAGCCCAGTGTTGTTTCAAGCAACWGAAAACAGATTTTTGAAATGGAAAACATAAAAAAAAACTTAACTGAAGCCATTAATCCTCAAAATCACAAGCASTGCTGCTTCTTTAACTACCTACAGAATTGACATTCTTGATGGACACAGTGTTTCAAACCAGATAACATGAAACCAAGTCTTACCCTTTCCGTGGTCTCTGGAGGTCGGAACTTTTCAGACTGAGAGCACCAGTGAGTTTCCACATATTGTTTCAGGATGACAGATGCCAGCTGTATCAGGAGAGAGGTCAGGAATCAGGGACAAATCCTGCAACCATGGCAAGGGTCACCCCTGACCCATTTGCTCAGCCTCCCGTCCCATCACACTGTTTATAGAGGGTCATCAGAACTTGCCAAAAATGCAAAAAATACATTAAGTGGACCAGAAAAAATTACTGCAGTTAAAAAGAAGTGCTGGGTATCCACTGAGCAGCAATGGCCTGCACAGGACTGACCTAAGGCAGCAGCTCTAAAAAGGCACAAGATACAGGTCACAAAGTAACTAAAGATACACAGAAGTAAAACTTCCTTTTCAAGGAAGAAAACACCAGCAGAAGAAGCTTCTGTGAGGACACTTGTGCTTGCTGATGTCTACCACCCGTCCCTAAGTTGTGTCCATTCCCAGTATTGTCTCAGCACCAGGCTTATTAAGTCCAAAAAGTGATATTTTCAAAAAAAGGTAAGAGTACAACACATAAATAATGAAAGAATTGAATAATTAAAAAATTGAAAGAAAAAGGCTCCAGAGAAATTTAAAAGAAAGTGGAGAAACAATAACAGAAAGCTAGTTCAAATTTTTTACCTGGAAATATGGAGAATATTTTAAAAACCAAGGAAATTACYATCAAAATTCTTCCTCCAGTTTCAGACAAACTCACCTGCCGGATGGCCAGAGCTCCCTGAGGATCCACAGTCAGTTCTGCTAAATGAACACCAAATTCTGCAAGGAAAAACACCCCAGATATTGGTATTGTACCTTTTACTGCTACACAGCAAAAGTCATCAAGATTTTTGGAGAGACATCATACCAACAGAGTGACACATATGCGGGAAGAAGGCAATTCCAAAGCACAGCTACTCAAATGAATCATGGGCATTAATTCTCCCCTGTGTTCTCCACAAAAACTTCATTTATTACCTTGGCATCTTATTTCCTTCTCTCGTGGGCAAAAAATTTTGCAATGCAGACTAATAACAAGCAAATAATTGAAAACTTTTAAAAAAATATATAACAATCATCTACGATGTACCATCATTACTCAAGTTCCTACAGGAGAGATGCATGGAAAAGATCCAGGATGGAGTAAGACAGCAGCAGACTGGCAGCCAGCAGTCCCTTTCTGGACAACTTGGGTTCATCCACAGGGATGCAGAGGCATTTCTGGGTCCCAGCCCACTCCCCTGACTGCTCAGGACACACCGAACACCTTCCCCAGCAAACCCTGCTCAGAACAGAGGCACCGGGACTGCCTGGACAATCCTGTGGGCTGTGGGACCTTCTCTCRTGAAGAATCCATCAGAAAAAGCAAGAGTGTCTTGTGGCTTCCTGCCAAACAAGCTCTGTGACAAAGGCAAAATTCAAATACTTGCAACAATTCTGTTGATACTGAGCACAGGAAATAAAAGCCAGGAAGAGCAGCTGTTCTGGTATGGTAAATCCATACAACTGAATAAATGTGCTTAAAATTGCAATTTGAAGTTCCAGGCAGCTGATAACTGTCCCAAATACTTCATTTAATATCACTAGTCTGCTTAAGAATACATTTGTGACGTTTTAGTTCTTAGAAGCTGTGGAGTAGAATTTATGTCCTGGGGTCCAGTCAGCACACTCTGCCTCTTGCAGACAGGCTAAACGTGCTGACAGCATCCCTGACAAAAACAGAYGGAAAATTCTTCTCAAAAGAAGTTCTGCAGCTTCCCTCAGCAGCACATCTGAGTGCTTCACAAATGGTTATCTTRGTCTGCTAATACCCACCTCACTGCTAAGAGGCTTTTCTGGATTGGGAGATAATTGCCTCTCACTTTCCCAAGCACACACTGAACATGCCCAGTTCCTTTACCCTTTCTTCACAGATCATGCATTTAAGAAAGACAGAAATAACCCTCTTATCCCTGTGAAAGCAGGGAGCCTCACTCCAAGATGTACTTAACATAATATTTCTCTTAACCGAAGCAGTAATTATTCTGTGTGCTATCTGTGATTTCCATGCTCAAGTGTGGAACTGCAGTTCAGCTCCATCTTTCAAGGTAAGTTGGAAAGGTATAAAGAGTATAAATGGAAAGGTAAAAAGGGTAAAAATAGGTATAAAGGAAGCCAGAGTAACTGCAATGGCTTCATGCAGCTACTCAGTATTCTATTCCACAATCCTTAATTTGTTTACATAAATGCATCTGATGCATTCCCTCTGCACACAGTGCTCTGCCTGTRATTTACAGTATTTAGTTTCTCCATTTTCCAACACCTTAGTTCTGCTCCCCAGGCACAGAGCAGTGCAATCCTTGGGAGAACAGACAGGTACWCACTGCTGCAATGACCAGGAGTTCTGTCATAAAAACCCCTTGGGTCTGACAATGAGCCACTGACAACTCCTCTCCACACAGGTTCTCAGCCCTACATGCTGCTTAAAAATATTACAAAACTGTATCATCTTAATTCATAAATTACCATTGTGGCAAATTCCTATCAGGAATCCTGCTGAATTCAGATCATTCATACCCATATTACTTGTTTAAGCAATAAGCCAGCTCTCCTATCAAACCAAAATCAGATGTATTCATCAAGAATAGATCATATAAAACAGTACTAGTTGTGTACCAACTATTTATCCTTTTATGTTAGAGACACTGACAAGCTGTTTAATGAGCTGCTCCAATAATCCTTCCAGGGACTGATATGAAACTGATTCTTGTACAGCTCACTGGCTCCTCTTTTCTCAAATAATTGGTTTATTGTTGGGTTTTTTCCCGTCTGGCTGGAAGTTTTTTTCTTTATCATGGGTAAATATAGTTCAAATGAACCTTGATAGGTGTTTCCTTCACTTATATTTTGTAGATTTGAGATACCAGAAACACAAGTCTTGCCCCCAAGATAAAGTCTGTAAATCCCAAAGATTAGAAGCTTTTAATGAAGGGCCTGGCATAGAGAGCACTTAGCAAACACATTTTCTCCCAGCTCTGCTTCTCCTCTTCATTAATCTCAATATTAATAAAATCAATCTCTCCTTCACAATAAGCTCTATCTACCATGTAACCAGTTTATGTAACCTCTTCAMCCCCAACTTTTTGAGAAACTAAGCCAAATGAAACCAAAAATTAGTAGTAAACAAATAGGAAGGAATAAATGACCAGAACTTTCTACTGAATCYTTGCACCTACTTGCCTTGTTGAAGTGGGTCAGCACTGCCAAAATCCAGCACACCCATGCRTAACTCAGGAGCTGCTACAGGTCCCTTTTGTTGTCTCTGCTGAGGGCACAGACAGGGCGACGTGGAGGAAGGGGCTGTGGCAGCTGCTGCAGCCAGAACCAGTGAATCCAGGCGGCCCCACAGCCACTGACACTCCAAACTRAAGCAACACTTGCTCTGCAGAGGCCAGATCCCACCACCACCATCACAGCAGCATCAGAAACTGAGTTCCCTTTACCCAACATTGGCCCACCCTTGTGCATTGCCATCTTTAGCCACAGAGGCACAGATATTTCCACTGGACTGGCTTTCAATACCATCATCATAAGGCAACTTGGTTTGAAAGGGACCTCAGGAAGTCACCCAGTCCAACCTCYGGCTCAAAGCAGGGTCAGTCACGAGGTAGGAGCAGCACAGAACAGGATGGGGATCTGCAGACAGACTAGGAGGAAACACAAAGCAAGAATCTAATCTCAGCGAGAGTTCTTACCCTCTACWCATGTGCTGCCTTGAGGAACTTCTTCATCCTCTGTCATGATGCTCAAGAACTGCTCCAAAAGCATTCCTTTTGTTAGAACACCTCTAAAACTCTATCAATATTTTCCTCATTTCTCAGCAAAGGACAGAAAGATTGAGGTCAGTCTTCTCCTGCAGCTTGTGCTGGTTTTATGTATCTGTTTTGAAATCCCTTCTTCACAACTCCTTGCTACACTCAATGTATCTGCAGCATTTCACAGAGCAAACACCAGCATTTGTTGCAGTGAGCAGTCTTCCTTCCAGACAAGCAGTATCATATATTGCAATGAGGCCATTTCTTGTTTGAATTTCCCTGTCACAAATCAATTCCATGTAAAAGTTTACTCATGTTTAAAATTCAGCTCAATCCACCCACAGAACTTGCATTCATTTGTGCCCATCACCCACTCTACTACAATTCAAGTWACAGCCAAGAGAGCTCCATACAAACACATGTTGTGGTCGTATCAGTATATTCTCCACAATCCCTCCTTTTACACAATGCTTGCGTTTATGGCATTTATGTACCTGATGCAACACTGAGATCCTTCTCAAAGCCATGTTACAGMAGCTCTGTTGGGAACGAGCTGACCATAAGCAAAAACATGCTGAAGCAGGGAAGCACAAGTGATGCTATACGTTTTTGCTATCATGGTACCTGTAGCTGTTCTCCTGGTACAAACAGACAGCAAATTGTACCATGAAAATATCATCAGAGAATAAATGAGTTTTAACGTATCAAACTAAATGTGCTGAGCCTGAAAAGGTGCTGCTCACCTGCTCTAAACACTGTTTGTCTCCTAGACAGGACTAGACTCAAACAACATGGACACAGGAACATTAAAAAGGGTCAGCATGGCCAGACTGAAACAGGAATCAATCTGCCAGAGGCAGCACCATCTTCAAGGCCTACTGCACATCTCAGTTTCTGCAACAAGCTTCCAAAGGACTGAGCTGAAGGCACCTTTCCTCACACAGGGTGACACAACATAAGCCAGGCTGAAGATAGCCTTATGAGTGCCTTTCTACCTGCAAGACGGACACACAGAAACACRTAAGGTAGACAGGCAAAAGAAAGGCAATCCTCCAGCCCGGAGCCATTCATGTCTCACCACTACCTTTCCAGAGCACAAGAGCCAATAGCTCAGACTTAATATTGTCACCACAATACATCAGACCTGRTATCTAACCAGGCAAGTGGGGAACAGTGTTTTCCAATGTCTGAGAAGCTGGCATTAACCCTCTTTCTCTGCACAATTTACAGGATAGTGTGGCAGGCACTGCTCCTCTCCACAGGGTAGAAGCCATTCAACAGTTGGACTCAGCGATCCTTGTAGGTCCATTCCAACTCAGAACAACCTGTGATTCTCAGCAGCACGAGCCCTCCTGCTGGACACAAACTCCCTTCAGAGTGTCACTGCCCTGCTCTGGCATTGCTGGAGATGGCTTGGCCTCCACACATGTTCTCCAACACAGTAAGACCTAGATGAAGAGATCATTTTTCCACAGCAGGGAATAATCTTCAGGTCATACGACACTGGCAGTAGTGCACACACGTACCCCACTGGGGTGGTGCATGGTGCTACCTGGATGGACCAGACAAAGGGCACAGAAACCCCACTTCACCAGCAACATACTGACACCACAGACAAACCAAGATAGACACACACTGCAACACCACTCCACAGTCTGCAGCTCTCATTTCTCTGCCTTCCCCCTGCAGTCTCAGGCATTGCCTTTATTTATGTTCCACTAAAATCTGGACAAAGGTCAACAGGGTCAACAGGGACAACAAAGGTCACCAGGGGAACTCTCCTTTCTTCATAGACTGACAGTAATGCATCTTCCATCCCCGAGCTGCCAAGTGGTGCCTGTTTCCTTAGCAGATAGAAGATGCAGAAGCAAGCCAGAGACTGAATTGCTCAAGACATGTCTGGCAGTTGCCAAAGGGTGACATGGCGTGAAGAAGAAGCCACCATGTACTTAATCCAGAGGAGACATCCCATATCCTCCAGAGCCC